GACTTTTGCACCAGAAGCAATCCAATAGGAACGGTCTTCTCCACAAATGCTGATAGAATAACCGGATACAGTGGGGCCTTGACTTACGAGTGTCCCGACTAACGAGTTTTTCGAGATACGAGCCGAGCCGTCTCTCAGCCGATTTTTTGCTTTGAGTTGCGAGCTAAAATTCGGGTTACGAGCCAGCTTCAGATACCCCACCGCTAGTTGGCGCAGCGAAGGTCACAGTGAACGCCACAACATCAGCCCAGCATCACGTGTCTCACTCGTTCACTTTTTGATTTGACATACGAGTAATTTGAGTTACGAGCTCCGTCACGGAACGAATTAAACTCGTAAGTCAAGGCCCCACTGTATTCACATGGAGTGAGGGGACCTTGACTCCTGTTCTCACACCACACACACAGATTAACTCAAGATGGACCGCAGACTTCAACACAGACGCTAAAACTATGAAGCTTCTAGAAGTATGAAAGAGCATCTTTACAACGTGGTTTCTTAGAAAGGACAAAGGAAAAGAACTGCCAACATAGACTTCATTAAAGTTAAACACTTCTGCCCAGAAGATACTGTTAAGAAAAGAAATAAGTTGCTAGGAGAGTGGATCATGAATATTCTCATCACAAAAAAGAAATGGTGATATGTGATGTGATGGTGGTGTGGGCTAGGGCTATGGTAGGGATCCTTTGGCTACATATGGGTATTATCAAGTCATCATGTTGTCCACCTTAAATTTACACAATGTTATATGTCAGGTGTATCTTAGTAAGCCAGGAAAAAAAAAAAAGAGAAAAGAAACAAGCCAGCCATAGACTGGGACTAAAAATTTTCAAAACAACTATGTCAAAGGACCGATGTCCAGAATATATAATGAACACCTACAACTTAATAACAGAGACACAAACAACCCAGTAAAATATAGACAGGCAAACTGAACAGATACTTTACAGAGGAGTACATACAAATGGCCAATGAGAAAATCACCATTAGTCATCAGGGAATTGCAAAGGAAAGCTGCAATGGGATATACTATATACCCACTGGGATGGCCAGATCACACCAAACGTTGCCAACGACGAGAGCCACAGGAACTCTCATACATTGCTGTTGAGGGGATAAAATGATATGACCATTTTGGAAAAAGATCTGGAAGTTTCTTATAAAACTAAACATGTATCGCCTGGCCAGTGTGGCTCAGTGGTTGAGGCCGACCTATGAACTGGGAGCTCACAGTTTGATTCCCAATCAGGGCACATGCCCAGGTTGCAGGCTCGATCACCAGTGTGGGGCCTGCAGGAGGCAGCCGATGAATGAGTCCTTCTCATCACTGAGGTTTCTATCCCAGTGGTCGGCAAACTGCCGCTCACAAGCCACATGCAGCTCTTTGGCCCCTTGAGTGTGGCCACAAAGTTTCAATAGCACTGTACGTGCGCGCCCACACGCGGTATTTTGTGGAAGAGCCACACTCAAGGGGCCGCAATTTGCCGACCACTGTTCTATCCCTTTCCCTCTCTGAAATCAATAAAAATATATTTTTTAAAAATATTCAGATTGGTGGTTGCCTCTGGGGTGGGTGTGAGGAAGGGGTTGGCTGGGAAGAAGCATTCGGGAATATTCTGGGTGACGGTAATGTTCTGCATCCTGACACGTGAAAATGAATAAAGGAAGCCTCGTTCAAAATGGAGTCAGAGCCCTGGCCAGTGTGGCTCAGTTGGTTGGAGCGTCATCCCATACACCGAAAGGTCACTGGTTTGATTCCCGGTTAGGGCACATGCCTAGATTGCACGTTCGATCAGCAACCAAGTGATGTTTTTCTCCCTCCCCCACCTTCCTCTCTCTCTAAAATCAATATCTTCAGGTGAAGATTTAATAAAAGAAAATAGAGCTGGAAAGCCGTGGAGGACTCTCCCGCACTACCCCTCGTCGCAGCTTGTATACTTCAGCAGAAGGAAAATGTCCTCTCCGCCAGAAACAGCAACTGCTCTTGCCCGCAACCAATGAGAACACATCACTTCCATCTCTCATTTTCCTCCTTTGTTCAAAACAACCCCTCCCAAATCCCCCCTTTCCTTTACAAAAGAGGGCTCTTCTCTTTTGGTCTCCAATCTGGCCTATGTTTCCCATAATTTGCTTGTCCAGAATTGAAATTCCTCTGCTACTGTTGAATAAACCCATTTGTTGCTTGATAACCTTTAAGTTTTAAGGCTCATGGTACACTTAAGATTTGAGCATTTCACTATAAATTTTACCCCCACTGACCCCCAAATATAAACAAATATTAAATTCTCACTAATGACAAGCAAGCTGGAGTATTTGGGAGGGGGAGTGTACTGATGTTTACAATTGAGAAATGATGAATTCATGGATGGATGGAATATGGACAAATCTGTATATATAAAAGGCTAATATGCTAAGTGTCCATCCAATTGGTAGCTATGACGCACACTGACCACCAGGGGACAGACGCTCAACGCAGGAGCTGCCGAGCTGCAGTGACTGGGCAGCTGCGGTTCTTGGATGACGCATCCCGAAAGCAGAGAGGAGGGAGCCCGATTCCTCTTGGGGCCACATGATTCTACCTTTGGCCATGGGTTATGTTGTTGCTGGGGCACTGTCGGCCCCGAATCTGGTTTAGTGCACACTTGCGTTTGCATTCCACACCCTGTAAGACAGTAACTTTGCAGAGTGCCCTCTCACATTCCAGGACCCCTCAGGGGATGTCAGACTGCCAGTTTCAGCCAGATCCAAGGCCAGGCTGAGGGACCCCACCTGCTGGAGGGACCCCGCTCACTCCACAGATGCCCTTCGAGCCACGGTGCCACCCCAGTTGCAGCTGGCCGGGGAGGGACCAGAGGGACTGCGGGAGGCTGGCTCCAGGGTGTGTCCGGCCCGTCTCGCCCAGTCCCACCCTGCCGGCCACCTTCTAATTAATTTCCTTTCAATGTGCATGAATCCATGCACTGGGTCACTAGTGCTTATATAATAAAACACAAACAGCAAAATGGAAACTGTACAATCTAGGTGGTAAGTAAATGCATGTTCACTGAATAAATTCTTTCAACTTCTCTGTATGTTTGAAAATTTTCATAATAGAATGTTGGGGGGGGATAGACAAATACAAAACTATAAAAATAGACAGAGCCGCAGTGCTCAGTCTCCACCACAACTCCGAAACCAAAGAACTACAAGACTCGGGGCAGGGAGACACTGCGGGCCCCCCTGCCAGGCCTGCCCCATTTGGCCAGTCTTCCAGAAACCTGGGAGCCACAGCCCCATCACAACAGTATGCCCCTGGGCCTCACTATCAAAAAGCCAAAGCTCGAAAGAGACATCGAGAAAGCCTAGAACAGCGGTTCTCAACCTGTGGGTCGCGACCCCTTTGGGGGTCGAACAACCCTTTCACAGGGGTCGCCTAAGACCATCGGAAAACACATATATAATTACATATTGTTTACAGTAGCAAAATTATAGTTATGAAGTAGCAACGAAAGTAATTTTATGGTTGGGGGTCACCACAACATGAGGAACTGTATTAAAGGGTCGTGGCATTAGGAAGGGTGAGAACCACTGGTCTAGAAGGTCTGTATAGAGGGGGGAAAGAGCCAACCCAGTTCACCTGTTTAAGTCATTTGCTACCGATGGGAAAATAGAGGCCAGGGCATGTATGAGCTTCACTGGGTATTTAATTTTAAGCCAAATTAGGCTGACCATGCCTATGTGGGTTCTAGTTGCAGAAGCACATCTAGTTCCAGATCAAAAGCGTAATCTTCAAATAACAGTACAATTTATTGTGCACTGTGCATGTTGGGCATTTTACACAATCTGAGTTCTTGCAGCCACCCTGTAAAGCAGGTTTATTATCCTAATTTTATGATTGAGGAAACTGAGGTTCAGAGAGGGTAAATGATGTGTCCAAAACCACAGAGCTGGAGCTGAAATAGAAGTCCTTTCCCGAAAGCACTCCTCACCAAGCCCCTCTCTGACAGGGTACAACCTGCCTGTGTGCAAAGCTTTTGGAGCAGGAAGCTCTGGGCTTCAGGGGACAATGAAGAATTTCATTACCTTGGGCAGTGGTCGGCAAACTGCGGCTCGGCAAACCGTGACTCGCGAGCCACATGCGGCTCTTTGGCCCCTTGAGTGTGGCTCTTCCACAAAATACTGACTTCTGCACATGGGCCACGAAAGTTTCAATCGCACTGTACGTGCGTGCCCGCACGCGGTATTTTGTGAAAGAGCCACACTCAAGGGGCCAAGAGCCGCATGTGGCTCGTGAGCCTCGGTTTGCCGACCACGGCCTTAGGGCAAGAGGCCAATCTCTCTTTTGCTGAAGACCTGGGGCTGGTTAGACCACCCCTCAATCTGCATGTCCTGGCAAGGCACCCTCATTAGGCCTTTTGTACTTTTCACATGTAAATCAATCACCATCTTAGGTGGTTTTCCCTCTTATTCACTAGTTAAAAAGCAGTGTCCAGTACGAGCTGTTTTCCCTGTAAGTTTTAATGACAGCAGAGCCCAGCCACGCTCTTTAAGCCCCTGCCTTGGTACCTTCCTTTACTGTTTCCCACTGAGCTGGGAGCAGTGACAGCTTGGAAGGGGGGCCAGTTTGGGTTTGTAACTTTGTGGCTATCAGACTCCTGCGGAAGGGAGAGGATGTAGAACGGGAAATGTTAAGAGGCTCTTAATTGGGAAGTGTCTTACAAATCTGAATTCGCAGAACACCAGTTTGCAGTTCCGGTCAGTTGTGCAGGCTCAGGTTCCTCCCACTGTGGAAAAGACACAGGCCTCCCACGCCGCCTTTACCAGAGGGCGCAGCTCCAGCACAGGGACTGACTCACAGGCTGGTATAGGGTTAGAGAGAAAAAAGCTCCAGTGACTTACCACAGCTTTTCAGGGCTGATCTTTAGAGAGAAATGATACCTATGTAGAAACTGAATATGTCATTCACTTATTTAAAAAAAAAAAGAAAGAAAGAAAGAAAGGAAAAAACCAGAATCCTATGAAAATGTCTTTAATTTTCACCTTTTGGAAATACATTTTTCATTATTTCTGTGATACAAAAATGTTATATATCTAACAATGACCTCTATGAAGCAGCTCTACTGAAGTAGATCCACAAAATTCCGTCTCCATTGTGACCTGCTTCGACAGAGGAAGGGCGGGTACACGTAGCTTTGCCATGATTTCACACACGCACACACACACAGGTATACACACATGCCACCTTCCTCCCAGATAGCCACCCACACACAGGAGACAACCACACTGACAAGTGAACAGAGCACTACATGTAAAAACAGAAATTAACTTTTTTACTTGTCCCAGCGCAAGAAACTCACATCTTAGCAAAAATAACTCTAAATAAATATGCCAAGGCCAAGGCATATGGTAAGCTCCTTTATCGGTAGAGATTTTTCTACTGGAAAAATAAGCTTGAAAGCTTCATATTTTCAGGCAGCTAAGGTGGGAAGCAGACAGACATAACCTATTTCCCCACTAGGAGACGGTAACCATGTGCTAGGACTGCTGCGGAGTACGAGCGTGAGGAGACAAGGAAACCCCTTGAAGCAGGAAGGAGTTCAACCCCAAACTCGTCATCACAGCCCCCAAGGATGTCATCTCTTTCTGCATATTTCACAGCCGACACCCCCCATCAGGTGGATTCTTACACACGCTAATTCATCACAGGAAAGGTTTCACATGAGCAACAAATAACTGGTTAATAATGTACACCTTAACAGCCTACAACCGTGCTGAGTGTCAGCATTTACAATCGAAAGGAAGGAAAAAAACACAGCCACAAAAACAAAAGCTGAGCTTTTTCCAGGAGACGCCGTTTTCAAAGCCCTCCCACACCACACTTATTGAATAGGGTATGGCTTCCAAGGTGCCGCTGGTTCCTTCCCAGCGACAGCACCACGACTTGTCTTGCTCAGGCCTCGGCTACCACGTGTCAGGAACTTCAAAGAGCTTGGCAGAGCTGTCCGAGACGCCTCCTGGTGGGAAAGGACAAAACAAGATGAGCACGGAGAGGAGAGGGCAGGCCCTGGAGAACAGAGCCACCATCACAGGGCAGGGCAGCTGCACAGCCACGCGGGAAAAGTCCAGGCAGGTCTTGTCTATGGAGAGCAGTGTCCAGCCAACGGCGGGACCCCACAGACACATCCCGGATAGGCTATGAGGTGCCTCCCTCCCCACTCGGCTGCCTCGCCTCTGTCATTTTACAGGAGTTAACACGTAGACACTTACAACATCTCCCAGTGGCACACACACCATATTCTTTGCTAGCCACCATGCTGAGCACTTAGGTCATTTACTCTTCAGAAAAGCCCTCACGATGGTACAAATATCCCCATTTCACAGATGCAAGAAGAGGCTCAGCGAGGCTGAGTGGCTGAGATGGAGTCTGCATCCTTCTACAGCACCAAGAGCCCCGCCGAGTCCCAGAAGGCTGGCTTTCTGTGGTCTGTGGGCAACGGGCACCGAGATCAGCGTGGAGGGAAGCTGACCAGTGTGGGTTCTGAGATCCCCAAAAGGGCAAAGAAGCGTGTAGCTTTTTCCGACCTCAGCGACACCGGCTAAGGTCTTCTTGGACTGAAGGAACCTTTTCCATTACAAACAGCTTCAACTCAAAGTGAGAAGCCCTTCTTTTCCATCCATGCCACTTTCTGTAACAGCAACTGCACAGATGTGTCAGGGCCTGGAGCGCCGATGTCCGGAGCGGAGTGAACGGGAACTAAGTCAGGAAAAGGCGTGTTCACAATGGAAAGTGTAGCGGGCCAGGCCCTCCCTGCACCGCTGGTGTCATGCCTTATTTAAGCCATAACTGCAGGGTTGGCAGGGAAAATGGGCAGAGCCAACCCCAGCTGCTAACATTCCAAGATTTCAAAAGAGAAGAGGTCTTTGATGCTGCCTGAAATGGAGAGTAAGTCTTAAGAAGCGATGAGGTTCGGTGTCCCACAAAGTAGAAAATCGCTCAGCTGAGCCTGGCTACTGTTAATGACAGGAATGCCTAAAAGGAACGAGATCTGAACATCTGAAATAACATGGGCATTTCAGCTAAAATGAGAAATCCCACTTCCGATCACTTATTGAGAGAAAATCCAGAGAGACAGGGGGAGCAGACCAGGAGAGGGGGACTCTAATGTTTGTACTGCTGTGTTGAACATGCAAGCCTTGGGACTCTCAAGACTGCAAGACTTTTCCTGAGGAGTGAAGATGGGCTGGAGATGACGCACATGAAAAAGATTCATGTGATCCCGTTATAAAAAGAACAAAGATTTAAAAAACAAAACAAAACAAACAAACAAAAACCAGAAACACTGCCCTCCCTGGAATAACTAAGTGCTGTATTGGTCCATAATAAACCTAACTAGCCTGACCTTCTCACTCATATGTTCAAACAGTACCTATTGGGAGACAGGAAAATAAATATCAATAAGGGCATTTTTATAATTCACATCAAAGAAATAGCAGCCAATTAGCCACTATAAAGGTAAAGGTCACAATGTCCAATGTGAGGAATTAAAATGAATTAAAACTAGCCAAGGGAGGCAGGGGAAGGTAAATGACTAAAAAGCAACTGCACTGTCATACTTATAGTAGCACCTGCCATTAGATGGATGGGAACATGTGTGAGTAGGTGGCATGCCACCATAGACACAGTAGTGACTCTGTGAAGATCTAGTGAGAAATGATGGAAAGAACTTTGGAGTTGGCAAATCTGGCTTGCCCATTTTATTAGCTGGATGACTCAGAACAACTTTCATTGTCTCATCTATAAGATGGACTGACTTCTACTTTATGCCACACAGGACTCTGGGATCTAGCAAAGTTCCCAGCACAGAGCAAGTTTTTCATACACATTGGGTCCCTTCCCCTGTTCAGTAAGGAGCCCAACATTGAGCATGGTTGTTCCCAGGAAGCCAACAGCCTGCTGTCAAAGAGATGCTAATTTTCACTGTCTAAAATGTGCAGCTGCTGAACAAGGCTATATACAGAGGAACCAGAACTTTAGGAACCTTAAAGAAGACCCAGACACAGGCGAACTGGGGGTCACGGCTGGTGTTCTTTCCAGCACTTTCCAGAAAGAGAGCACTGTGGACTGCCCAAGGATCAGTCTCAGAGCTAGTGGGTAAGGAGCATTTTCCATGGAACTCATCTTCACAGTCCTGTTTTACTAGATTGCAAAAATTATTTAGGAACCATTTTTCTTTTTTAAAAGAGATACTTAAGGACATCTGCCTCCTACTATGATGGACCTCAATCCATACCTTGCATCCTTTACAAAGATTAATTAAAAATGGATTGTACACTTAAATGTAAAACCTAAAATTATGAAACTTCTAGAAGAAAACATAGGAGAAAATCACTGCAATCTTGAGTTAGGCAAAGATTTCTTAAATATAATACCAAAGGCATAATGCAAGAAAAATTGATAAATTGGATTTTGTTAAAATTTAAGGCCTCTACTACTTGAAAAATACTGTTAAGAGAATTTTAAAAACTCTGTAAAGCACACACACACACACACACACACACACAGAGAATATGAAAAGTTTGGAAGATTTTTTAAAACACCCAAAAGAACTTGTATCCAGAATATATAAGGAACTCTCAAAACTGAATAAGAAGAAAACAACTCAGTGAGGGAAAAAGGGGCAAATATATAAACAAACATTTCACCAAAGGAGAGACTGGGATGGCAAATCATCACATAAAGAGATACTTAACATCAATTAGTCATAAGGGAAATTCAAATCAAAGCAACAATGAGATATCACTACATACCCATCGGAATGGCTATAGAAGGACAATACCAGTACTTGTCAATGTACAGAGCCACTGGGTCCTCCCTATCCTGTTGGTGGGAATGCAAATGGTGCAGCTACTTTAGCAAACGGTGTGCCAGTTTCTTATGAAGTCAAACATACACTTACCATATGACCCAGCAATTCCACTCCCAGGTATTTTCTCAAAAGAAATGAAATTAGTCCATTCAAAAACCTGTACCTAAATGTTTATAGCAGCTTGATTCTTAGTAGCTGAAAACCGGTACCAATCTAAACACCAACTGGCAAAACCCATATATATAAAAGACTAAATGACCGACCGTCCATCCATCCAACCAACCAAACGGCCGGTACATATGATGCACACTGGCAATTTAAAAATAAATGTTGACTCACGCATGCACGATACATATAAAGCTCTCACTGGTGCCAATCGTATGCGTGTGTTTTGATCTGTCATTGTCGATTGTGAATTTGGTTGTTTTTGTTGACATTCTGAAGCTGAAAGAAAGCGGGTGTTGTCGACAGAGTATGTCTGAAGACCAACTATTGGCATAACGTACCTCTGACACTTCTATTATAGAGAAAGGGTGAATAGCGATATTAAAATATTTCTTCTAATTAATTTCCTTTCAATGTGCACGAATCCATACACCAGGCCATTAGTGGATAAATAAACAGCAATATGTCCATAAAGCAGAATACTATTCAGCAATAAGGAATAAACCACAAATACATACAACAACATGAATGAATCTCAAATGCATTATACTAAATGAAAGGTTACCTATTGTCTGGTTCCATTTCTATGATATTCTGAAAAAGGCAAAATCACAGTGATAGAAAGCATGTATCAGTGGTTGTCAGGATCTAGGCATGCAGGCAGGGATGACTACAAAGGGGCATGATAGACCTGGTCTATATCAATCATAGTGATTGTGAAATGAATGTACAGATTTGTCAAAACTAATCAAATTGTACATCTAAAAGTGATTACTTCTATTGTACATAAATTATATTTTTAAAAAACTGTCCTGTAAAAGATATTAGGAATGTTGTTTTAAAAAGACAACAAAAATATAATATAAAACATTATGCTGATAAAAAAATTATTTGGCCAATAGTTGTTTTTTTAATGGAGAAAAAACAGGATACTAACTTTCAGAGAGTATGATGCCAATGATGTATAAAAATGACAGGCGGAGCCCTAACCGGTTTTGCTCAGTGGATAGAGCGTCAGCCTGCAGACTCAAGGGTCCCAGATTCGATTCCGGTCAACGGCATGTACCTTGGTTGCGGGCACATCCCCAGTAGGGAGTGTGCAGGAGGCAGCTGATCAATGTTTCTCTCTCATTGATGTTTCTAACTCTCTATCTCTCTCCCTTCCTCTCTGTAAAAAATCAATAAAATATATATTTTTTTAAAAATTGACAGGTGGAGCCCGGCCAGAGGGGCTCAGTGGTTGAGTGTTGACCTATGAACCAGGAGGTCACAGTTCAATTCCTGGTCAGGGCACTTGCCCAGGTTGTGGGCTGGATCCCCAGTAGGGAGCATGCAGGAGGCAGCCGATCAATGATTATCTCTCATCATTGATGTTTCTATCTCTCTCTCCTTCTGTCTTCCTCTCTAAAATCAATAAAAATATATTCTTTTTAAAAAATGAGAGGTGGAGTAAAACACATTAACAGACTATCAAGTAACTTTCTATTTTTCTTCACTTTACAGATTTTCATAGTAAGCACATTATTTTTATTAACTAAAACAACAAAAGAGATTAAAAAGTGGTCAACACAATAGGTGACTGTTTCTGCTTATTTATCTTTCAACTAACCAGAGTGGAGAGGAAGGAACTACGAGAGGTAAGACATCTCTGACCTTAGGTGAATCCAAAACAATCTAAAAGCTACATGGTACACTGGAAATATGCCAAGGTATCTACAGAGCGGAATTCTGTATTTGGGAAGATCCTTTGGGGTGCCATAGAAAGTTATTAACTCCTTAGAAAATGCTCCAAAGGGTGGTTTCCCACACCCAGCAGGCGAAGCTCCCCCTGGATGGTTTGTGGGGGTACCCAAGGGTTGCCAGGAGGAACGGGGAGGGCACAAAAATGCACTGAGCAAACTGCCCCACAGCCCAGAGCAGCACACATCTCACTTCCCACACTTAGGCTGGAAACCACACTTTGAGTAATTAAAAAGCTCCTGGGGAGGTCGCTGGACTTTCCCAGTCTGGTCACTCAGGTGACCAACAGCAGCAACTGCAGATCTCATTTCTGACTCTAAGGAGACCTGTAATAGTATGAGGAGATTGCTGCTCTATGAAGATTCTAAATTTTTATATTCCGACCCTATGGCTTTCAGCTTGAAAAGTTCAGCAGACTAGTCAAGACTCCAGTGAAACTCACGGTTCTTGGCAAAAAGTCAAAGGTGTAATGTGTTGTTTTAAATGCAAGGGGGAAGAGAGACTTGGAGCAATGTCTCTATCATGACAGAACAGTCAATACAAACGGTCCATGTCTCTGGCATTCCTCCGTGACCACTGCCTAACAGGGTGCTTACGGAACCTCGGGCCCTGGACTGTCCATCAGTATTCTGAGTAGCCAGTCTGCTCAGTGTCAGGCAACTACTGTCAGCCTACAGGCGAGGCTGGGGTTTCTCCAGGCCCTGGGACACTCTCCACTTAGTCATCCAGAACAAGTGCTACGGAAGCCCATCCATTAAACACTGCCTGGGACCATTTCCCAAAGACAGTTTATTCCAGCATAAATGGCACACAGGATTGTTTTCCTTTGTGTACCTTGAATTCTGCAGAGGAAAAGTAGACAGCACAATCAATCTACACTAATCATAATAAATATAAAAGAAGGGAGCTTACATTATATATTTGCTTCCTGAAAATAGGATAGAAACAGCAAAACCTAAGAGAAAAATATTTACGAAGTACATAATATGTGCATAAAATAGAAGCTCCAAAGGGGAGTGGTCATTGGATTTTATCACGACTTCATCATCTGAAAGTCCAGGTTGGTAATTGTTTCTGATCCAGAACAACTGCCAGAAATCCTCATGTTTGTACATAAAGAACCCTCTGCTTCCTCTGGTGCAATGTGTGAGCTCTGGATCAAACAGTCCCCACAACCCCCCCGTTATATTTGACTTGGCCAGTTGATAACTCTCTGAGCCTTGGTTTCCTATAGAAATTGAGTATGTACTTGATAGGGTTTTTCTAAGGGCTAAACAAGGTAACAAAGGACGTTCCTAGTACAATGTCTGGTATATTATTTAAACTTAAATGGGTCATTTTGTTATCTAGAAAGGGTTCTAATACTTAACTCTTCGTGTACTTTAGATATTACTATGTATAACTAAGGAAAATGGCACTGTTTTGTGTGGGGTTTATCGAGCATCCTTTGTCCCAGGATTGCCACAATACACGACATTCTATGGTCTTACTTTCTGCTATGTTCTCCTTGGGAAAGAGAAAATTCCCTACAAATGAAGCAATGTTTTATGTATTCATGCCCTCACTGAGAGTGCTGGGCACCCGACACACCTTTGTGAATCCCCTGAGCACCTGCCAAGATACTCTCTCCACAACAGCAGAGCTCAGACTTGATGCCTTAACCTGTCTCTGAGACACACTTTCCCACATTCCAAACACTCCAGCACAGTTCCCGCCAACACCCAACCAGGCCCTCACAGCTCTGGAACATGAGAGCTGAAGACAGACCCTTCACAGGGGCTGAACCTGGTCCTCTCACTATTGCAGGACCTTATTAAAGTCACCAAGCAATAAAGTTGGTTGATTCCACATATTTCGCACCTAATCGCTTGACCTGCATTCTGCTAATACGACCAGGACCAAATGCTACAACAAACCAATGGAAAAGAATCCATTAAACTTCTGTCCTGCCACTGCTAGGTCCAACTTGGTGAGCGGTGCTCCAAAAGAAAGCTAAATTCTCTCAAGTTCTGTGGTTCAATTCAAAGTTGTCAAGATGTTTCTCTCTCTGACTGACAATGAAGTACAAAATCTACCGTGTTTTTTTTTTAGCTCACATCTTGTGGCAGTTACAGTTTTACTGTCAATGGGAGAGGGGAAAAAACTATTTAAATGATTGTATTATAAATTCAAAACCCCAAAATAACTCATATAAAGCTTTCATTTAAAAACAAAAAGTTATAAAAGGAGCTAATCTATTAATGCAGTCTATTATTAGGTATTTTGATTTTAATATCTTTAAGATTATGCTGAGATAGAAAAAAAACCCTGAAATCTTACCCCTGAGAAGTAACAGCTAAGCTGAAAAATTCAAAAGAGAACAAGTTATGAAGGAAAGGAATACAAGAAGGGAGCCCTCCCGCCACTCCCCGCCACCCCCGCATCATGCTCAGAGTGATCGCTAAAAGTTGTGCTAACATTTAATATTTAACATGTGTTGAGCAGGTATAAATCAGCAGCAGTAACAAGGTATCACAGATGAAGACGAAGTATGTTACAGATTAAGAACTTCTCAAAAACTTATTTTAAGGAAAGAATGGGAGGCAAGTAAAGGGAGACACCCCAATTCAAGGAGATAGCTCAAATATACACTCCAGGCTTCCAATCAGAGTTTAAAGTTTTCAGTTAAGTTAGGCATCAGCATATTGTAAAAAAGCTTATGTGACATTTTGTCACTTCTTTGATTTCATTAATACTGAGATGCAGAAAACTTCCTACAGTTAGTTTGACCACATGCAAACAAAAGAATGAACTGAAACACAAGTTCCTAGCTTGGGTATGAATCACGCTCCACTGCTTTACTACCTTCCTTCAGTTTGGTTGTTGGGCCTGCTGACCAGGGCGACTGTCATGATGTAAACAGATAAGGAACAGGGAATAATGGCATCTAAGTAGCTGGGCCTTCTTCCCCGAACAGATAATACATAACTGTGCTTACAAACACCGGCTTTGTTATAGGACAGAATTAATTGCTCCATGACCCTGGGCAAGTCAGTAATCCTTTAGGCTTCTGTTTTCTTAACTGTAAACGGGCCCATGATGACTACCTCAGATATTTACATGAAAGAATTTCTGTTAAGCATTAGGTGTCGTGCTGGATCCTTGGCAAACACTCAGTGAGCAGCAGCTATAATTACTGTCACTGTGACTATTGCTCATCGGGTTATGGCCGGATCTGACAAGCAAGCTCTTCCTCCCACTCTAGCCCTGTATAGGGTCTGGGCATGAAGGGCTGAGTTAGGTCATGGATCCTCCATAGCATGTCTGAATGACAGAGAGGATGTTTCGGCTTCAGGTGGACTGGGGCTCACCTTCTGAGTCTTCTTCTTACTAGCAGCTACATGGACCTGCATATGTTTCTGATGGCAATTCCCTACGTCTGGGCTATTGTGAGGATGAAATTAAATAAGGAAAGAGAAAAACTCCTACTACAGCATCTAGCACATAGTAAGCTCTCAACATGTGCTAATTTCCTGTTTCCTTTGCTCCTTATATAATTCTGCTTCGGAGAGAAATCCAGGTTGCCTGGGTTTTCGTGGGAACAGTGAAAACTCTGTTACCGAAAATAATACGTGTAGGAGTAGGCCTCTGTGCAAAGTTAAACGTACATTTAAAATATGGAGGCTACTTTAAGCACATCAGCAAAACCTCTAACCCATGGAGGAGAGAGAAGATACCAAAATGGACTAACCGTCTTTAACATGCCCTATCTAGAGCCAGGGCTTTTTTTTTCTGTTCTTTTCTTTTTTTCAGAGCCAGGGCTTTTAAGGGATTCCTCAAATTAAATTAAATTAAATTGGTCCTAAAAACATGTGGCCCCTTGCACCAAGTGAGCCCTGCTGTAGTCTCTCCCACAGAACACAAGTTTGCAGCGCATTGAAGAGCACACAACTCCAGAACCTCAGAAAGAGCCAATACAAACCCGCTGGAGAAAGGTCCTTCTTCATTTTTTTAAATTTCTTCGTCTTTTTCCTTCCCTCGGTGGGGGGTTCAGCACAGGAATCTGTCTGCTCAAACTCAAGGTCAGAAGTCTCTCTTGCCTCCGAGCCAGCTTCTGCTTGACTGAGGCTCAGCTTTCTCTTTCTTCCTGTGCTGGTAGCTGTAGGACTGAAATGCAGACAGTGGAACAACATGAAATATGTTAAGAATAACAGGAAGACTAGCCTATAAAAATATTTTAATACTCTTAATCCTATGAACACTTAACTAGCAATCAACAACATGGGCAGCTGCTGCCTAGGTGTAAGTTAAGACTTTATGAACTGAAGTCTAAAGGTTTACCCATGAGAAGCTTATTCAGAAGCAAGTTCTACATTATGCTTGGATATATATATACAAAGCTAAGCTGTTCTAAGTGCTTAAAGAACACATTTTTTAAAAGAAAACCCCTGGTCTCTGTTTTAGTAGAACAACTATAAAATAATAGTCTTGATTACATTAAATCAGAAGCTAGCATTGTTACCTTCAGGACTGCCTAATGGATACACAGCAGAACAGAAGCAATCGTGAGTCAGTTATCACACTGCGCATGCATTTGAATACACTTACAGGGCATACCCCCCTTCCTATAATTCTCTCCTATTCCTAAAAGGTGCCAAATTTATAATTAAACCTGGCTTCACTTTTAAAGTTTCATAGGATCTGACATGTTGAATTACATCGAAATTATATGTCCCAATTTTTCCTTAAGAAAATATGTTCCCTGAAATATAACTTGATAAAAACAGAGACCACATGGCCAGTGTGAGTCCTGTCTCTTCTAAATGGGTCTTATAAATAGAGTTTTTATTATAGCCCCCAAGTTTTGAAAAGCATATAAAATCAAGTCATTCCACTTGGAACATTCTCCTACTTAAGTCTTCCCTAGGAAGTGAATACTTCACAATGTTACGCTTGAAAAACCTTTGGCTACCCAATTATGTAGTATTCTGGTCAGGATTGTATAACCTGAATATAATCATAAAGAAATAGCACATAAACCCAAATAAAAAATATTTTGTTGAAAAAAAGTGTCTGGGGGGGGAGGGGTGTTCTTAAAAAAGTCATAAAAAAGACTAAAGAGACAGAAAAGCTAGATGGAACATATATAGACTGGAGCTTAGATTGGATCATAGGCTGAATCTTATACTGAAGGAGAAAAAGCTATAAAGATAATATGGGATCAAATAAAAAAAATATGAACAGTAGGTTAAATATTAGATCAATGTTGAATAACCAAGGTTGGTAACTGTACTGTAGTTATGTCAGAGAATATCCTTATTTAGAGTATTTGGGTATTAAGGACCACTATATATCTAACTTCCTCTCAAATGGTTCAGAAAAAAAAATAGTATTGTTGGTGGTAGTGAGTGGGTGGGGGGTTGTTGGGGAGGTGAAGAGAGAGAGAATGCAATACAGAGTATGTGTGTACAGTAAGCCAGTACCCCCTCACTTAATGACATCAATAGGTTCTGTGACTCTGAAGCAAACCGATGTAAAATAAAACCAATTACCATGGGCTAATTGATATAAACAGAAGTTAATTTCCAATGGCATCTAATCAACATTATAGTGAAACAACACTGAATGAAATGATGAGGACCTGCTATATAGATAGAGAGAGGAAGGGGAAAGGGAGGAAGAGAAAGCATGTGTACACAAAGCAAAAAAATAAATGGAGCAATATGTTAACAATAGAGGAATCTGAATAGAGTGTGTGTGTGTGTGTGTGTGTGTGTGTGTGTATACACTGTATATGATCTTTGATTTATTGTTAGATAGAACAAGGGTCTCAAGATCTAGGCAGTTCTAAATGTTATTCTTGCTAAATGTTAAAATGTAGCACAGTATTTTGCAGATCAGCTGTAACCTGGATGAGCTTGACTGGAACTCAACCAGGTAAGTGTAGCCAAGTACAAAGAAGAAATCAATGTGTAACAGACCAAACAATATTTACAAACAATGGCTAAGCCTCCCTTCAAAGAGACAGAGCTTTGAGTATGAATCCTTTCTTCTTTACTTGCTGCAAGTAAATAAAATTACTTTGCAACAACCACCTCTCAGTCTTTAATAGAACACCCCATGCGGCAAACCACTTGAGTTTGGTAACAGGATTTGTGTGACTTTTTTAACCCTTTTCGGTCCAACGTGGAGGCTGACTCGACAGACCAGGCGCTAGGAGCAGGTCCAACGTCGAGCTGAGGTCTAGTGAGACAGATAACTTCAACATTCAATCCCATCAATTAATTTGGACCAGACTGTTTGAATTCCAAAAATAAAATTGGACCGCAAAGGGTTTTAAAGTTTGAAATTATTTTTAAATTAAAAGTAAAAAAAAAATAATAATTTCTGAGAAGCATGATGTGTAACAAGGAAAGTAAATTTCATTGAATATCTTCTGATACCGGCTATGACACAATCCAGGGCTAAAGTGTGTGTGTGTGTGTGTGTGTGTGTGTGTGTGTGTGTTTATACATGACTAATAAATATATTGTCAACCTATTAATACAAGAAAGAAGAAACCTTGACCATTAACAAAATGTCTCATTTGATACAACTAGATGTTTATCCAACCAACTTGGCTCACACCCTCGGAGTCAGCACCTGTCCCTTTTCAGTCTTCAATGCCTGAGCCCTTCTCCTTCAGAGAAACTCATCCCCTCATTAACCAGTTTTCACCAACTTAATAAGTGCCTCCCCCAAACAGCCTCCAGTCTTACTCATTTATTTCTACCTACCACCAGTCCAGCTCTTTCCTCACCCACTGCCACTGCGGGCACTCCCTATCTTGCCCCAGACTCAAAACAGGATCCTAATTGGCCTGTCTCTCCCTCTCCCCCTCTTTCCAGTCTCTCTTCCCCTTCAAAGCCATTCCTTCCAATGCTGCCAAACTTCTTCCAAAGCAGAAATTTGATCAAGATGTCCCCAGCTCAAAAACTCTGATGGCTCTCCACTACAAACCTAAATTTAAACTGCTTGGCATACCATCCAGGAATTGCTGTCATCTGGGTCCCAATCTGCTCTTCTAGCCTTATCTTCCACTAGGCAGCCGAGTGGCAAATACAATATACATTGACCTTAATAACTTCCATTATATGCACTTTCCCATATATCCACCATCTCTTTAGAGCAGTGATGACGAACCTATGGCACACGTGTCAGAGGTGACCCACGAACTCATTTTTTTTGGTTGATTTTTCTTTGTTAAATGGCATTTAAATATATAAAATAAATATCAAAAATATAAGTCTTTGTTTTACTATGGTTGCAAATATCATAAAATTTCTCTATGTGACACGGCACCAGAGTTAAGTCAGGGTTTTTCAAAATGCTGACACGCCGAACTCAAAAGGTTCGCCATCACTGCTTTAGAGTTTATCAGTCCCAATATAGCCTGTATTCCCCACTTCAGTGTTGCTACTGCCCATCTCTTCCTGATTAAACACCACTAGCCTTGAGAATGTTCCCCATTTCTCTGCCTAGTGTTCCTTTCCTTACATGCTCCCCAGACACTCAGTTTGTCTGTTTCCAGGGGTCTTTAAGTCATCTATCATTATTTGCAATAAACAAAAATTGGGACCCTGAGAAAGACACCTCCTAAAAGTGGGTCCCGGTGGCTCACTGGGCTCAAATTTTAAAAAGAGCCTAGCAGCTATTTCTAAGCTGGGGCCTCTCACACCCCCAGCACTTTCCAGAGAAGCCTGCACTAAACTAACTGCCTGTCCACGCTGTGTTTCTGTCATCTGAACCAGCCCTTATAAAGGAGTTCCTGGAATCCTATTTCAACCAATAGGACGGAGGCTTTTCTCATCCAATCAAAGCTGCATAAACATCTTCACCAACCAATCAGAGTAATTCTAATCTGACCAATCAGGAAAGTGTCTTTTAGGCCAATTAAACTGTGAGGATTTGAAGTCCTCCTTTGCATGAGGACAGATCAATCAGGGATCAGGGGCAGGGACTTCTATCTACATAAGCCAGCTCCTGTCTGGCTCTGAGAGCACACTTCCCCTTCCTACCAAAGACTGAAGACTGTGTTTCCCAGGCTGCAGCAGAACAGAGCTGCCTAGCAAGAGGGAGACCTGGTTTCAGGGCTGCCTGGCCCCAGGGCTGCCTGGCCCCAGGGCTGCCTTATAGCCAGGCTACATCACAATTGAGCTGTTTTGCCCTGAATCAAGTTTCCTTCTTCACTGAACCTCAAACTGGGTATTCCTGTTGGCATTAAATTGGTGACAATGACCATCGGTTGACAATATGTATTTGTATATGTATGTAATATCCATACCAACATAAAATGTTCTCAACTATCATTCTCTAATAAAAATAAGTGATTATTATATGCCATATAGCCAAACTAAAGCAGTTTTGGATCAAAACAGTTTTTATCATACACTGAAAACTAGATATATGAAGTACTACCTTAAAAATGTTAATTCTTTAAACATTTTTAAGATACAGCTGTTTGTGTGTGTGTGTGTTACATATAGACATTCCCAATACATGTATGTTGATAAGATACTTCTGTATGAATTGATTTCAAAGGTCAAAAGTCAAAATGAGATCAGACAAAACAACCTCCCATTAGTCTGGGCTCATCTTACATGCAAAATTAGTAAACAAAGTAAGCCATTTTAACAAGGAATATGAAGAACACAGTTAAACACACTGAAGAAGTAGTGACTATTTAAAAAATAAAATATTTCTGACACAACTTGGTATGTCAAAATTGAACATTAAACCTTGATTAGTATTTATATGGGGGATGCAAATAACAAGCCATCTTGGTTATAATGACTATTAGGTCAAACTTAGAATATTTGCTGCAAAATATTATTAACAATGCAGCAACTACACACAAATTCTGCAAGATTCTCCATCAACTTCTTCCTTTTAGCAGAAAAATTATTTGCTAACAGAAAGGTCACATTCACAAGCTCCTTCTATAAAGCCACAAAAATCTGCCTGCCCCATGAAATTTTTCCCCTTTATTTTATTTTTTTAATGTTTTTATTGATTTTAGAGAGAAAGGAAGGAAGAGAGAGAGAAAAAAACATCAATGTGAGAGAGAAACATCGATCAGCTGCTCCCCTGACACGGGATCCAGCCTGCCTGGGCATGTGCCCTGACGT